CATAGTCCCGTGCATTTCCCTCCCCCCCCCATTTTTGATCCCATTCCCCACTCCACCCCCACAGAATGTCTCTGGTATATGGTTGTTCATTATTTTTGTTATTTTCTCGCCTGGTCCATTATACTCCTGCTATGAGTGAAACCATCTGGTATTTTTCTTTCTCTTTCTGGCTTATCTCACTAAGCATGATCTTTTCCAGCTCCATCCAAGTTGCTGCAGAAGACATGTGTTTCTCTTTTTTGGTTGCTGAGTAATATTCCATTGTATATATGTACCACCTCTTTCTAATCCAGTCATCTACTTTTGGGCATTTGGGCTGCTTCCATGTTTTTCCAATTGTAAATAAAGCAGCAATAAACGTGGGGGTACAAGTATCTTTTTCAATCAGTGTTTTTGTGTCTTTTGGGTAGATACCTAGGAGTGGGATTGCTGGGTCGTAGGGAAGCTCCATGTTTAGCAGTTTGAGGAACCTCCAAACAGTTTTCCATAGTGGTTGTACTAGTTTGCATTCCCACCAGCAATGCAGGAGAGTTCCTTTTTCTCCACCTCCTCACCAACATTTGTTGTTGCTAGTTGTTTGAAGATGTGCCATTCTCACTGGGGTGAGGTGGTATCTCATTGTGGTTTTAATTTGCATCTCCCTTATTACGAGTGATGTTGAACCTTTTTTCATATGCCTGTTGGCCATCTGCATTTCCTCTTTGGAGAAGTGTCTTTTTAGCTCTACTGCCCATTTTTTGATGGGGTTGTTTATTTTTGTTGAGTTTCATCAGTTCTCTGTATATTTTTGTGATCAGTCCTTTATCGCTACTTTTGTGTGAGAAAATGTTTTCCCAATTAGTGGTCTGTCTGTTTTTAGTAATGTCTCTTTTGCTGTACAGAAGCTCTTTAACTTGATGTAGTCCCATCTATTTATCTTTGCCTTCACTATTGTGGCGATATTTATATATTTTTTAAAGATTTATTTATTTATGCATATAAAACAGGCCAGAGGTACAGGGGCGGTGAGAGGATTAATCAGAGACAGAGTGGGGAGCAGAACAGGCTGAGGGGAGCAGTGGTTGAGATAGGAGAGGTCTGCTGCACTATGTGGGTCACCTTCCTGCTCGGGGGTTGAACACTACTGAAGCAGCTGAGGCTAGCTTCATAGTGCAGGGCTTTAACCTGTTGCGCCACCAGGGAGGGCCCGATATTTATGTTTAAATTGTTGAAAATGGCTACTTAATTGTTAATCTAAGGAACAAAGGAATACTTTTCAAAAAAAAAAACAGCTTTGAATTTTAAGGTGATGTATTTGTTTTGCCTTGTCCTTTATTGACTTTTATTTACCCTATGATATTTATTATAATACAGATTAATCCTAGAAATTCTGTTTTCTTGAACTACAAAAGTAAAATAATCACAGTGTGTATTGGAGAGTGGTATGACTGAATTAAAAATATATTTTTTTCTTTTCACATATGTGGATAAGTCTACAAATATGTCTCCTATACTCTGATATTCAATCAACACTACTTTAAATTGGGATGATGAGAGGTAATATTGATGTTTACAGCTTGTCATTATGCCTCACATGAGTGATCCTGGACTTGAAGGAGTGGGTTCTTCAGAATAGGTGAAGATTCCAAGACCATTGCTAGACTTGTACCCTTTTAGAGAACCTCATGTAGCCCTCATGTACAGGATTTGAATTATAATACTTACTGTTTACTTTTGAGTCTAGGCAAACTACTCGGCTCTTTTTATCCTTAGTTTCTTCGTCTGTAAAGTGGAAATCAGAATACAGCCTAGAAGTACATAGGAATCAGCTATCAAAATGACATTTCTCAAATCTGATTTATGTGGTGGTGTATGTGAAGTCTTTATATCCTCACTGGATTTTTCTTGGGCCCTGGATTCTGAATGACTTCCTTGGCTGAAAGTACTACATCATCATATCTGGTCTTTGACCCTAAGCTAGGTATTTTCAGGTTTACTGGACCTGACTAGGTTCCAATCAGTTTTTACTCAGTTTATATCTAAATTTCAAGTTACTCAACTTTGTGTCGAATTTTGTAACTATTTACTTAGGTCTGTTCTGATTTCTGCTCTAGGATGGAATTCTAAGATTCTTGAAAGTGAGAAGTTCTGTTGTTCAGGCAGTGACAGCCATTTTTCTTTATCAGACAATTGCTTTATTCTATCTCATTATCAAAAGGTTGTTTTAATCTTCTGTAGAAGAGTCTGCCTTAAAATGTTTATTGAGCACTTTGTGCAAGATATGGTTCTGAGAGCAGGGAATACAGTAATAAACAAACATGGACAAGGGATTTTTGTGTATCATGGTTAGATTCTCCATTTCTTTTGGGCAGAGATAGGATGTCAGTGTGACAGAACACATATGGGGACAATTCATGGATAGGATAGTTTATGCCCAATGATGAAATCCTATGAGAAAACAAACAAAACAGAATAATATGAGTAACATGGTGTATGTGTGGGATTGAAAGGGCAATGTGAGATTTATGGTCAGAGACCTGTCTTAGATGGAGACATTGCCAGTTTATTACTCTTACTCATATTTATTTTTCTTCCTCCTGTGTTACTTGATGGGGGTCAAGAATTATGGGTGATAGTTATCTGGGAAGGGATGTTGTTAATTGAGGAAATGTGGGACCACAGAATAGAATTTGTCCTGGGATAGAAGCAATTTTAGTGGGGGTACTTTTTTCCTCCCCAATACAAACCTGAATATCAGGAGAAGCCTTCTGAATTTATGCTTAGAAAATAGCAATATGAAAGACTTGTTAGAGCAGAGTACATCTATTATCTCAACATTGAATGAACGAATGAATGAGATGCTTAGATCAAAGGATTCAGACATATGTGTATGTGTGTTTGTCTTTATATGAGGGTGAGAGAGAAGGCTGCTAAGGGAGGGAAGAGATACAAGCCCAACTGAACATAATTTAGTTGAAACGGAAAAGAAATTTTTGTATTGTATGCTGTACTTTCTGACTCTTTATTTTGAAGATGACTGGTATTAAATGTTAGTAAGATGACAATCATTTTAACACTTAAAATCAAATTATTAGAATGGTATACAAGACTTTAGGATAGGGAAATTCTTGTAAATAATATTAAAACTGTAGAACAAGATGAGTAATATAAGTATAATTTTATATTTCTTAGTGGAGAACCAAGTGTTGGAATTTTTTTTAGGGTAACAGAAAAATAAAACTGAAAGCAACTATATAAGACAGAAATAAAGCATTGTAATAATTTAATATTAAAGAAAAAAGATACTTCAAATATGTCATCATCATAGCAAGTAGAAATATTTCCTACACAGGGGAGATGAAGATTTCCTGTCCTATTGGGCATGAAGGACACACACTGTTGTTTTAAGTTTGGTTGTCCTTTTACTTCCTTTAACTTATGTTACTAGGCCATATTATGCATATATATATTATATTACATTACATTACATTACACTATACTACATTACATTACATGGGCGATGAGTTGTAAAGAAAACTTATGAGTTCTCCTTGTCTTTTACATATCAGAAAGAAAACAAATTTGCTATTGTAGATGCAGTTCTCAAAATCTCACTAGAGGGTGGTGTTGCCTCTAAAACTAGAGGTTACTTAGCTACAGTATTTTCATTCATGGCAGTGTTTATATTTAACTAAAAAGTAAATGCAGTTTTTTCAGTCTTCTCTAAAAGTTGGTAAATGTGAAGTCTGAAACCATCTAAGGGCATCATTCTTTTTTGGCTGGTGGTCTTCCCAGAGGAGCCATATTAAATAGTGAAGAGATTATTGGAGATGTTTTGTAGCTGATCCTAATTTCAGCTCCTGACTGACTAGTAGACAAGAACCTAAGGCTCCCTGGGCCTTCCTTTCATCTGTAAAATAAAAGGGGTACCTAAGATGATCTCTAAATCTCTTTGCATTTCTACTTTTCGGAGAGCCTAACAATTTTGGGTTTAAAGGGCTGCAGAGTTTCTCATGCTTTTGGCAAAAGGAACAAGTAAAATCTCAAATTATTAATAAAATACAATTTAATGATGTAAATGAGATTTAATATAGACTCTAAGTCCAGAAGCCTTAAATTTAAATGTCAAATCTTCTGTCCAAATAGGGAAGCTCAATCATTCTTGGCCTCTATATAAACATTCTGTGGTTATTTTAGTGACTTAATTGATCATCTAAAGCTCTCTCTGCAGTTGGTTGCTAGCTTGCAACCATAAGCAACAATAAGGTTTTTTATTATCAAATAGGCATGTTTTACGATGAGGACTAAGCAGCCCCATCACATTTTTTGCACTTAACCAACTTCCATAATATTTGTGCTTTACTATGAGTTAGTATCCAGAGGGATTTAGTTGTTCAGTATTACCCTTTTTCATCTGATGCTCTTCCCTTGTCATATTTATTCACACTGCAGGGTGAACTGAAGATTCTTTCATGGGATCTGAACCAAATTATCCAACTTGAGGATTTCAGTAAACCCCAGTTTATCTGTGCATGCATTTGACTTCAAGGTTGGCAGGAGAGCTTGCAATTAACCCCCGAGGGTGAGAAGCCGCCCTCTGCCACTCAGACATTAATACTCAAATTGATTTGCTTTGCAAATGAAAGTTTCCTTTCCCCATTCTTCCCGTTGGATTTTGTTGCCTTTTCAGGGTTTTTTAGAATATTTCAACTTCCTAAAGTATACAGGGAACGCTTGCAGATGCACAAACGTGTGCCGCACTCACACCCTCTCCTGTACTCCAGCCCTGCTGGAGCTGGCTCCCAGTTACAGAACACATTCCATTCTTCTCGCTCAGGCACACCCCTCTCGAGTGGGGATTGGTCGGGCTAACTCCCCCCGCTCGGCTAGATAGGGCTCCTAAGAGGCCCAGGCGCCTGCCAATCCCCATGGGCTGTCAAAACAAGTCTTCCCTCCCTGTCACAACAGAGCGGAGTGGAGGCCGCCGCCACCGCCGCACTTCCTGAGGCTGCTGAGCCGCTGTCCCCGGGCAGGTGGCGGGTGAGCGGGGACGCGGTCCCCCTGCTCCGGTCCCCGTCGGGCTGCGCGCGTCCTAGCCTCGGAGGTCGCCTGGCCAGGCGTCCGATGCCTTTGTCTGTGGCAGAGCGGGCGTTTGCATCACATTTCGGACACCTCCCTTTCTTTTTCGCCACTCCTTCTCCCGCTCATATCTTCTCACTGCCATACCCTCACCCCCCTAAACTGCCAGACTGCTGATCTCCTGGACCTAAGCACGCGGACGTCTGCTATCCTAGCGATGTCTTCTCTCCAGAAAGTTGCCGCCGCTGCCGCCGCCGGGCAGTGAAACAAAGTCTGGCGGGGCCGCCTCCTGGTGCATGAGCGCACCAGTACCCAGCGTCTGGACGCCGCCGGCTGGTGTTGCAGTTTGCCTCCCTGGAACCTGAACCGCGCCGGGCCATGGCTGAGGGTGCGGCGGTCAGGGAGGGTCCTGCGCAACCCGACGCGGCCGGGGGCGAAGATGACTCCCGAGTGGGCCTAGACATCGCCTGCGGGGACGGTGAGGCGGCGGCCCCTGGGGGCCGGTCGAGGGACCGTCGCAGCGGGGTCGCGCTGCAGGGCGTTGCAGGGGCCCCAGCGGACTCTGAAGCCGGCCTCCTGGAGGCGGCGCGGGCGACCCCCCGGCGCAGCAGCATCATTAAGGTAAGCCAGGCCGCACAGCCCCGGGAACGCGCGCGTCGGTGGGTGGGTCGGGACCCCCAGCAGGACGTGTGGTGTCCGGAGGCGTTGCAGGCTCGGCATTGTTTTCTCCCACCTCCTTCTTTATCAAACCTCCTTCCGTGTCTGGAGGTTCCCAGACTCAGCCCTGGGTTTTGAGAAGCAGAAGTGATTGCTTTTTTCTGACCACAGAGGAAAAGTTCCGCTCTGCTCTTTGCGTTTAATAGCTGCTTTTTCACATTTTCTCTGTAAGCTACACTAAACCTTTGACGGAAGGAGGGCGGGACGACTCAGTATAAATGCAGATCCACGGCAAGGTTATACACTGCTCCACAGAGAAAGGTTAGCTTTCCCGCACTGCAAAGGGAATGTACAGTTTGCAAGTGGGAAACAAAAAGCAAAGCAAAGCATAGCAAACAAAAAGCCCCAATCAAACCCTCTAGACTCAATTGGATCCTAAGTCCCAAGAAGCATGAAGTTTCCTGGTAGGCGGGCTGAGCTTTCTGTGAACCCTGCGGCAAAGTAAAGAACCTTGTGGAGCCTGGAGTTTCTTCGCTGGGCTAGGGAAAGCGCCACCGGAAAGCAATCACCGTCCTCACCGCCCCCCCCCCCCCAAACTCCCCAGCATCTTCCTGGATCCTTGTGGTTTCCACCTGATTCAGGGAAAACGCATCGACGCCTCAGCTTCCAAACAGGATTGCTCTCCATCTATTTCACAAGAAATTTGACAACCTCTGCCCATCTTTTCCTCTCCCATTTGAGGCTTGGTTCCTGATTTGGGTGCATGGCATGGATGGGGTCAGATACTGTCCCCAGCCAAGTCCTTCCGCTAGCTCACTAAGCCACACTTCGGAAAAGGGTCTCTTAGTAGAAATGCATGTGAGCGATCTTGTGCATGTGTGATTAAGATCGATTTGGTGAGGCGATCACTATGAATGAAACTTCAATCAAATAATAGTAGTGAAAGATGGACTTGGAACGACTTCTATTTGACCTACATGATATGCTATCATGTTTAAAATCTTGGTGCACGTTTGAGCTGTGTGATGAATGTCTCTCTCAAGCTCTAAATGGAACTCCCAGCGCCACTGTTGCCCACGGTCCATCCGCCTAACTCCAAGTATGGTTTAGGCTCTTCCTCAACACTGACACATGGAAGTTTAGACCAAAAGGGAGACTTCTATATTAAAGGAAGAGTGGGTGGTAGTTGCAAATGACTTGTAGTAGTTTTGTTATTTTGTGCCTTTAAGATTATGTGGAAAAGAGTGTTCTATTCTGGGCATGAATTTGGATAAAAAGGAAACGATTGCTTTTTTTTTTTTCCTTCTTTAACCAAAGGTCAGAAAGCATATGGTTTTGAAACATAAAAAGCATCACAATTAGGAAACACATTTTGGATGCTAAGATATTGATGTTACTTGTGGTCCTGTGTGTGTGAAAACGAGCTGCACAGATAGTTCAACACGTATCATTATGAAAAGCAATGGGTTCTACAGTGTATAAAAATAAAAGTTACAATGTGGGGAATATACAAGTTCTTGAAGCTAAATTTGCAGTTCTTAAACTTTTAAGAGTATTAACTTGTCCTTTCCCCTACTTAATAGTAAAATAAACAATACCTTACATTGTCCACCCCAACTATAATGCTTTCTTATGTATTCTTCCAGAAATATATAATACATATATAAATATATACATCAAAAACTATGTGCTGAGTTACTGATGTTCTTGATTTATATAATAGAATTTGGCTGGAAGGTTATAGAACTTGTGTCTACAGGTTTTCTCCCACCAGTTTTAATGGCTAGACGTTGTCCATAATCATTGTGATGGGTCACTTATTCTTCAAGGACACTTTATAGGTCATTTGTAGTCATTGGCCCTTCCCATAGGCTTTCCCTCACAGTGGAGGAAAGAGATAAGTGGTAGGGCCTGTTCTACTCTGTCTTAGAGATTAATGACTTTTCTGTTGTACATTGTAGTGTAGTAAAAATAAGAGTTTCTTAAAAGGTCTAATTCATATAAGAATTATGTAGCACATGTTCTATATGAGAGCGAATGTATTTTATATAATTTCACCAAGAGTTCTTTTTATTTGACATTGAAACATATATAAAAATAAATGCTTTGATACATTTTTATATTAATTAAATTATTAAATGCTGTTCTGAATAGTCTTACACAGAAATAATTGGCATTCATTATCATAACTGAACCACTAAAGACTGTAAATCATCAAATATTAAATTCTTTTCAATTCAACTTAAAGTATTATTGTTCTTCTAGTTATTTGAATGCTAATTCTCTATTACCTTGACTCTTGGATCAATCAAAATAGTGCATTTGTCAATCATGCCAAAAACCACTGCCTTATATTAATAAAGGAATATTTTCAATAAATTTTCTACCCTCAGTTTGTAAAAATACAGATTTAGTTGAAAAAACAATTTCCTTTTGAGCTCATGAGGACAGTGACAACATATATCTTTATACATCTTCAGAAAATCTTCTTTGTACTGTAAATATGCTTTTCCTTTATATACCCATTTCTAAATTAAAAAGAAATTAATGTGAAAATTAAACTAGATTCTCTTAATCCATCTTCCTTGTGTTTTTCTGTGTAATTATTTTTTTATAGTATTGACATTGGTAAATGTTGTATGTTTTTTAAGTGTGTATGCCACAAAATCACAAGACTATATCTTAATTGCTTCTTGATGACTTGTGATTTAAAATAACAAGTTAGTTGCATACAAAATTGATAATGTAAAACTATTATGTAAGGTTCTGTTTTGAACATATTTTTAATTAAGAAATTGGCCAGGAGTTTGGGGGTGATGGAAGGAGGAGCTAGATGGTACCATTGGTACCATTTATCTATCTGGTACTTGATATCAAATTTATAATGTTTAAAATATTTAACATTTTGGATTATAGTTATATATCTCTGTAATACTCTGGTAATAGGAAGCAGTGTAGCTTATTTCCTATACTAGATGGTGGGAACTAAGATTCATATGTTATAGAAATAACTATTGACTTTCTTCAGTTATATGTAACATATTGATGGGGTCTACTTTTTTCCATTTCCTATTGATTATACTTAGGTATAAATTCTCTAGAAAAATTATTGTTTGTTTTTCATGGATATTAGTGTGTAGGATATAGATGGGAGTTGGGGATGAGGTGCTGAGACCTGCACCAGGGCAGTTAAAATGGGTTCGGTGTTCCTGAATCAAAAAGACACCTGCACCCCCATGTTTATTGCTGCTTTATTTACAATAGGAAAGACATGGAATCAACCCAAATGCCCAAAAATAGATGACCAAATTAAAAAGATGTGGTACATATACACAATGGAATATTACTCAGCAATCAAAAAAGACAAACACATGCCTTTTGCACTAACATGGATGGAGCTGGAAGGGATCATGCTTAGTGAAATAAGCCAAAAAGAAAAGGAAAAATAGTGGATGGTTTCACTCATAGCAGGGGTATAAAGGACCAGAGGAGAAAATAATCATAATAATGAACAACTATATACCAAAGACATTTTACAGGGAGACATTTTACAGGGGTGGAGCGGGGAATGGGATCAAAAATGGGAGGAGGGAAGTGCATGAGACTATGGTGATGGCACACGGGTGAATTGGTGGTGGGAAGCCCACAGGGATTATAACTGAGATGGAAAAAGGCACAAAATGATGTAAAAATAAACTATTATATATATATATATATAGTATATATATATAATGGTTTCATTTTATATATATATATATATATATATATATATAATGGGTTCAGTGTTCACATCTTATAATTTTATATCATGGCCAGTTTCATTCTGTCATGTTGACTATATGACTAGTGTGGGTTTCTGTGCTGCAGCCTCAAAGATTCCCCTTGGGTATGTGCTGACATATGAAAAAATTATGTTTCTCTTCAAAGAGAATTTTATTATCTTCAGAGGAATTTTTATTCATACTTCTAAATTGCTATTACTATAAGTCAGGTACTAAAGTAAAAGCTTTTTGTATTTATTTTTGGACTTAATTTTCACAGCAAATCTTTAAAAGTAGAGGAGACACAAAGACCTATTGCTACAATGTGGAGACAGGATTAATACTCATGTCTGCTTAAATCCAAAACTTATGCTCTTATACTGACTTTCAGATGAAGGAAGTACTCAGTCCATAATTACTTTCTAGGTTAGAAACAATTTCAACATACAAGAGAGTGATAGAAGAGACTGAATTTTGGGTGCCAAGACTTTTTGATAAATTATTTTTCCCACCCTTTTTCTCCCAACTCAGAACAACTGGAGGAGGATAATTCTACATAGAGATCATAGGCATGGTCATTTGTTAGTCCCGTAATGTAATTTAAAAAGCAGAACAAATTGGTGTGTCTTCTACTTGTTGCTAATATATGGAGCTCACACATGTTACTCTACACCGGACTTTTTTTTTTTTTTAATGTTTGTTGAAGTAACATTGATTTCCAACAGTGTATATTTTAGGGTTATAGCTTCACATCTTTACAAATGTATATCATCACCATACCTACCATCAAAGAATCAATAATCCTTCAATATAGTCCATCAGGTCCCCTCCCTGCTTTGTTCCTGCCTCCCCACCAGACCTGCTGTTGATAGCTGAGTTTCTGAAGAGCTGTCTTTGGTTTTAGATTGATATATAGAGGGAGTATGATTAGTCTAGGGGAGTGATGAACTAGGGAATCTTTACTTGGAGCTTTGAAAGCATTTTATATAGATGGTTACGAAGTAGAAATTAGTGTGATTAAAAAATAACTTAAAAAATTTAGACACAATATAAGTTCAATAGACTTCTTTAGGTTGACCTGGAAATTAACATTTATAGACTTTTTTTTGCCCATAGAAATATGTGTTAAAAATTCCAAATAATCAACTTACAGATGAATTTTGGAAGGCAGCTATGCTTACCTCCATACTAACAGTCATTGAC